CACACACACACACACACACACACACACACACACACACACACACACACACACTCACATCTTCTGGCTTATCACACGCGCACACCTACATATCATTACGAAATGAGCACATACACATATTATATAATAAAATAATATACACAATGCAATTCGCGAAATACATAAATGGATACATAGTCATTTACATTACATTGTACTGAACATGAATCTACTGACATAAAAATGATGTTATTAAATGTGTCTTACTTTAAAGATTTTTAAAAAATTTAGACTCAGATGTTGTATGTCTCAAGGGTTGGGGAAGAGAGTTCCAAACTGATGGAGCAAGGTGGGCAAACGACCATTCTGCTAATTCGTTCCCTCCTTTTCTAGGAACTCTTAAAAGATACTGATTGCCTGATCTTAGTGATCTAGATGGAACGTAAATCTGGATGAGATCACTAAGATATGAGGGAGCTTTGTTATTAACACTTTTATGACATAATATTGCAATTTTATATGACATTCTAGCTCACACGGGAAGCCAATGCAACGTTCTTAACAAGGGAGTAATGTGGTCCCTCTTGTTTTTCTTTAGTACATGCCCATTACTCTTTCAATGATGTAGCTTCGAAGCTGTATCTTAGACTGTAAGAGCAAAAAAAGTGTGATAGAGATAGACTTCTGTAACAGATAAAGAATTTAAATGATGGTAAAAGTGAACTTTGTCAACAGTGTGCCTTCTTCTGAGGAAATATATTGCTTTTGACACAAAGTCAAAATATAGCAAGTTTGGTATTTTGATTTTTTGGGTTTATCTTCTTGATTATAAACCCTTTTGGTCTCTATTGAAATTCCTCCCTTTATATTCCGAAATTGGCCACACTGAGAGACCAAATATATCAGGTGTTGACGGAATATAAAGGTTTTTTTTTTTTATTTATTTTTTTTTTTAGTAAAGAGTTGCAAGTGCCGTAAAACTCTTTACTAAAAAAAAACCCTTTATATTCCGTCAACACCTGATATATTTGGTCTCTCAGTGTGGCCAATTTCAATACCATCTGCCGTTGTATACTCTGAAATATGAGTGGCAGGGAGGAGATCAAAAGCAGACCTCCTCCCTTTTAACCGTCTTTAGCTGTCTATCGATATCGATGTTGACTAAAACGGTTTGCGAGATACAGCTTTGCCGGGGCAGTAGATATAAAGGAAGTAGATAGCCCTAGTACTACTTCCCTCCCTTTAGATCTTGACTTCCTTTGTTGCTCCAGTGGGGAGACACTGTCAGTACTTCTGGAATCCAGGAAGATGGAGGGTTGTGATAGGGATGGTTTTTACAATGGGGGATATTTTTAAATTTTAAATTCTGCCTTACTAGTCTCCTAACTGCCTCTTAACCACTGAAAAGACAATAGTCATGTTGTTGTGGTTTTTTTTTAGATAACTTCTTCTTTGTCTTGTGTGGTGTAAAATGGAAGACTTGGTGCAGTTTAAAAACAACAACCTGAAAAAGAGATCGTCTGCTATCCTGTGCCCTTGGTAAGCAGCTGGCAAGTCTTGAGAAAAGAATCCCAACATCCTGGTTGCACTATTGCATCGTTTGTCTCTCCCAGGCCTCAAGGTACAGGCCGTAAATAGTTGACAACTCTGTGCATACCATGAGTGTTTACACCCGTAATGGACTCAAGTTTTCTTCTTCAACCACGAGTTTCTTCCTCTAGAAATACATGCTTTGGCTAGTACTTTGTATTTCTGTTTCGTAAAGTATTTAACCCTCAATAAGTAGACTTACAAAATTTCTTAAAATATACCCGGAGTTTGAATTCATGATTTTTGCACTAGAACTTGGCTCCCCGCCCCCTCTCCGCTGGACATTCTAAGCCTAATATTATTATGTGCTAAGCCAGCATGTAAATCCATGAGCCTTGATTTCTTCTACTCAGATGTTGGCAAGTAAGTGAAGTTTTGTCAACAGCCAAAGGAGGAAGGGAATGTAGCCTTCTAAACAGCTTTCTATGGATCTATACAAAGCAATGATGCAATATTATCCAGAAAAAGATGTTCCCAGTTTTGTATTGACATGGTCTGACTTCTCTGTGTGTTTGGCTTCTATGATTTTCTTCCATTTTCTTCTCAAAGGGAAACAGGCCCTGTACATCCTGACACCCTTGAGGAGACAGAGATGATCAAAACACGAAGGTGAGAAAAACTTTCACCTCAGATTTCTTTAACGTTATTTTGGTAACTATAATTTCCCACAATTTTCAGTCAGTAGGCCTAAATAAGTGTGAAGGGATCAGACACAGGGAAGCAAAGACATGATATAAAATTTGAGTGTTGTGCCCCTTAAGTAATAAATAGACTATTTTAGAGTTTGATGTTTCTCTAGTGTTCTGGATTTGGATAGTGCTGCATGGCAAAAGGTCAGACAATGATACAGGTAGTTTCATTGTATCACATACATCTTGTCAGCATAAAGAGCATTACTTTAGTGTTCGTTTTCATTAACTTGTCCACTGCATTC